ATGATGAAAGACCTCTCATTGGAATCTGAAGGAAAAAACACCAAATTCATCCCTCAGAAGTCTCCTTTTTAGAAATTAAACTTGCAAAAAGTTATGATATCGATTGTTACTCATTTATTGATCTGACCATCCAAGAAAATCAAATACAGGTACTGTATTAGTTAATTATTTATTTTGGCGGGGGAGGAGAGATGATTAGGTTTGTTTATGTTTAGAGGAGGTGCTGGGGATTGAACCCAGGACCTCATGCATGCTAAGCACACGCTCTACCACTGAGCTACACCCTGCCCCTAAAAGCTATTTTTTGAGAGCTTGTTGCCACCTTCTTCCAGTCCCACCTGGCTGGGTACAGCAGCAGGTTGCGTCAGAAAGTGCACTGGTCTTGAAGCCAACCAAACCTGCCTTCAAACTTACCTTTGATGCTGCCCTGCCACGTGACTCTAGACAAGTCACTTGTCCCCTCTGGGGACTAGTTTCCTGGTCATCAGTAAAATGGGGATAATGCTTTCTGCTCTGGCTGTATCATGGGACTTGGAAAGGGACTTGGCCAGCAGTAAGACACTGCACAAGGGGCCCACGGTACTCCTTTATTCCATCACTGCCCAGAAGATGAGGGCTTCGTCTCTACAGGGACCTTAATACAAGACCACTGAACTGATGCAGGGTCACATAGTTACTGCTTACTCCCCTACGCCACCCATGACCAGGTCCCCCTTGTTGGTTTTGTCATGGAGATGGAAGAGCACAGGGCACAGGACTTAAGGTTCCTAGCGGTTGTGCTATTGGCTTGGTTCCTGTTGATGCTGGTCTGGTTCCTGCTTCCTCACTGTGGATAAGAGGGCCGGACTGGATGATCTCTATAGTGATTCCTAATTCTAAACCCAGCCTTTCCCAGAATGAGTCATTTCTGTTTCAGACGTCACAGCCCATCAGCAGCACCTAGCCCAGGGAAGGGGCACTGCTGGGTGTGGGTGGGGTGGCAGGCTGAGCAGATACCGGAGTGGCCCTGGGAGCCTCCTGTCAGCCCCCTGCACTGATCACAGGGCAGATGGGGGTATGGAAACATGCTGGTGGTCTGCGGTTCCCCCAGCCCCAAACCCTCATTCAGCATAGGCACACAGCTGAGGGGCAACCAGGAGACCGGCAGGGGAGAGGCCGTGCTAGGACGGGAGAGGAAATCTCCTTAAAGGAGAAGGGTGGGGTGGGGCAGGGCTCCCTCGCCTCCTGACATTCTTTTCTGGTGCCAGGGGTTGGTGAGCTGGCTGGCTGGCTGCTGAGGCTGTGGGAACTCCAGCAGGACGGGGTGCTCACTGCAGGAGGGTCACCCTAAAGTAGCCATAGGCTGGGCAGGGAGACACCTACGGGCCACCCTCCCTAGAGTAGGTGTTGGGTGTGGTGACTCCTGCAAGGGCAGGTCAGTCATTTCCAGAGAGAGGATTAAATCTCAGGAGATGTCCCCTGAGGTTACCAGCTCCAGGGGAATAAGCATATTTTTGTTACAAATCTCTGGTGGCATGCCCCTGTTTCTACAGCCATCTCTCTTGGGAGTGTCACGGGGGCTGTCTTTCCAGACTCCTCCCTGACTGCAGAGGGGCAAACACTGATCATCTGTGAGCAGGGGACATGGCCCTCAAACCAGGTGAAGGTCCCCTACTCCCTGCTTTTATCTCTGGGTGGTTCCTTAATTTCCCAAGGGAAGGAGTGGAGGGGACACTCCCCTTTTCTGCTGGGGGCCTCAGGCTTCCCATTTACAGTAGGGCTGAGTGTGGCCAGC